CCCGGACTCCAGACACCCTCTGAGAAGGTATCCGGGAGCCCTTGGGTTTGAGTTCAATGGAAGCTTTTTGGCGCAGCTTGAATTCACCAGTGTACTTTTTGTAGGTGGGACAAATAGGACAAATAATTGATATTTCTTCACGTTTCGATGGTCCTTTTGCTCCCTTTTCAGATATAGCATGACACTTTGAGGAAGGCCCTGCCGTCCCATGAATCATATGTAATTTGCATATACAGGGAGCATCCCGCAACTGCGGCTTCATTTCTGGGGCGTAGCTTAGGGATCAGCAAAAAAGCAGATAGCTGCATGATTTGGGAACACCTGAGCCAACACCGCCTTGAGCACCAGCCACTGAATCCACCTATACGTGCGACTTGCTCACTGTAATTAGTTTGATACAGTTTGTTATAGCTATAGATCCTCCTATAAGAGTGACCTTTCCTAACCTCCTCGTCAAGACGGCTTCTGCTGACCACTCTTTTCTGCTGCTGCTTTGAAGGGGTTTTATTGCGTGGGAAGTGACCCCACGAAGACCCCGGCCGAGCAGAGGGTTTCACCCAGACATACCCAGACACGACCCATGGGAATGGTATATTTGCCGATCAGGCCAGGGAAAGGTTTGGGGAGTTCATGTAGGAATGGGACGCATGGAGTGTCGGGGTAATTCGTTGGGGGGACTTCACTATGCCAATGGCTTTGCTTAGGATGATTTGTTTCAGCCTCAAGGATTTGGCTGGGCTTTTGGGATTCAATCCCGCCTATAAAGAGAAGGGTCTTGAGTCTTGATCAAGGGAAGCATAGTGAACCTGATTTAACACAACTTCCGTATTACTTCCGAACAACATGTCTTGGGACTTGCAAAGATGGATCTCTGTGGGTCCAGTTACCACGATATAGGTAACCATGGTTGTTTCGTTGACCTAGAAACCCCGAGTTCCTTATACCTTGATCTGCATTTCATCAGGCAACCATTTCCAACTGACTTGATTTAGGCTGAAAATTCCTGACGTTCTTGCAAAGAACGCCTAAGCTGCAGCCTTGAGGGTTAAAAACGAGGACAAGAACGCCTAGAGGGGGCATTCGATCGCCCAAGCACGGACAGCTAGGCGCCTTTTTTTCCATACTAGGCCCAGGATGGCCCAGGCATTTCTGCCCAAGAAGAGGTTCTAGGTATATACTGGCTGCGTGCTGGATCCACTGGGGACCTGTTTGAGACCCGCTCGGCACGGCAGATCGGACCCCCGGTGCCCCGTGCCGAGCGCGCGGTTGCGGCGGGACGTCGCAACGGGCATGATCCACCCGACCGCGTTAGAGGCATTGCCGCATGGATCTGAGGCCTTGTCTGTTGGCCTCTACAATTTCAGCTTAAGGGTCTGGCGGTCGCTGTCGGACATGCAAAGCAGCTCGAGTGGTGGCTTCGGAAGCTGGTTGGTTCAAGTGGAAGAGGCTCACAGGCACGGGTGGTGTTGGTTTGGTTTCACGTGGAAAAGGAGAGTGTTGAAGATCTGATAGCATGTCAAAGGCGGCCCCTATTCCAGGCCTGTAGGGGTCAGTCAGCTTCAAACCACGTTTGTTGGGTCACTCCTGCTCGCTTCCTGCGAGGCCTGTGATGGTTCTTGAGCTCTCGTGGGTGGAGGGGCAACGTCTCTCCATCGCACCAAACAGTGCAGCCGTCCTCGCTGAGGGCCGGGTGGAGCAACAGGGAGCATGTAGAGCATCGGATGATATCGCCTGGCAATGGGCGCCTCGTGGGCATCATGAGGTTTGGATATGTTTGATTCACTGTTGTACTCCTCCAAAGACAACAAATCGAAATCATCGTATACCATCTCTTACCAACTCCATCCGACTCCTCGGTCTTTGGAAGAGGAATCATAGTGATGTCGTCCACTCTGCCAACACGAAGTCTTTTGCGTGCACATTAGCTCACATGTTTTGATGTTCTCCTTCCGTTGCCCACACCAAAACTGGACGCGTGTTTGGGTCAGGTGCTGGTGCGAGGGGATTTGATTCTGGCCTCTTTAGCCACTCAAGTGACCTCCTTGGACACCTCGTTGCTTGGGCCCCGCGAGGGAACTAGCTGTGGAAGGAGTGCTGGTGGCCCAGACAGAGCGATTTGAAGAGTTTTTGTCCATGGAAATTCTCTTCAAATACCTGGAGTCAGACCGGATGGTTTGGCGCATTTCGCTCAAGTGAACGTAAAGGAAGTGTCTTCAAAGGAATCCAGACCCCGAATGGTCCATTCGCCCCTTAAAGGTTGCTTGGTCAAGGTGTCCATGAATCACCCTCGACCATGGCTTCTGGACATGTTCAAAATCTCCAGCTCTCTTCGTCGGACTTCCAACACCAGTCTATATACACTCCGACTCACTAACATGGAAGTGGAAAGCCCACTGTTTGTAGAGGAAAGTAGTCTTCCAAGCGGCCATTTTCCACTTCCAATGTTAGTGAGTCAGAGTGTGTATATAGCTGTCGGTGCGACCCCATGCTGACGTCAGCTGGTCTCCGGGTCGGAAACGGGTCAGCATCCTCTTGGGGGGGCATGGGCCAAATTGGGTGCGTTTGAGAGAAATATGTTTGACTCGATGACACCTCTTTGGAAAGGGTGCGAAACGAAGAGTTCAACCAAATTAGATCACGAGTTACTTCTTTTACAACCAAAGTCTATGACATCGGGCCCCAGGAACTTTGGGAAGGCCTTCAAAAAAGTGAATTCACACGGAACTCTTTGGGGCCCAGGCTGGGGATCAGGTTGGCATCCACTGATGGTTTTTTTTAAAGGTGGAAGATTGGGCAGAAGAGGGTGGTTGGAGGGAAGCTGGTTCAATTTTGGGGGAAGCTGGTCCAATTGCGTATGTCATAAGAATTGACGTTTCTAGGCTCTGGCGGGCTGCTTTTCTTGGTGTTCTGATGTAGTGAAAGCAAGTACCAGCATTTTGCTTTGGGAATCTATAGCAGTGGTGTTGAAGTGAACTATAAAGGCTCAACTAGTCGAAGTTGCGACGTTCACCTCATCAGAGTTTGAGGATCCTTCCACAATCTGTTGAACGACTGAACAACTGGTTGATCCAATCCAGAACGTCTGGACCACTGGATACGACCTGGTGCACAAGAGGTGCACTGGTGGAGATGACGACGTCATAAGAAGTGCCAATTTGTTGATGGCCGTGTTCTGGTAGAACTGAAGAACTGGCTGTCCAATTTACGAGTCGATCTGTTCGTACCTCAGAAAATGGGGAAATTAAGTCGTATCTGCTTTTTAGACGGTCAAGTAATTTTTTCCACTTTCTACGGTTCTTGAAGTCAGGTTTTCATGTTGAGACCTGGCCTTGATCTTCGCCTAGGCTCAGCATCACGACGGCTGACTTCCCCACAGAGCTTTTGGAAAGGGGACTCTCCTACTCCTACGTGCTACTGGGAAGGCCGCAAAGCTCATCACTGCCCACCAGCGGTGACACATTGAACCAGACAATGGTGCCAGGGCTGAAGATGTTTTGATTTTCTATACACTCCACTCATGAACCATGCTTACTCCCCCAAGAAAATGCTCGAACTATCTATAATTGATATACAGATATATACAGTCTCCTCAGAAGCATTCAGAACCCCTCTTTAATTGATGTTCTTTAAATCAGTTTGAAGAGTTCTTGCCCTATAAATCATTAAACCAAAAAACAACGTGGAACATTGTTCTTCTTTCCCAACTTCCCCCTCCGGGGCCCTCAGCCCAGGCAGATCTGCTACTGGCGCGCTCACCCAGCTTTGTCGCCGACGGTGCGCCGCGGCAGGGCAGAGTGGAGCTGCGACCAGTACAGGGGGAAGCGGTAACCACTGCCTTTGAGATCCTGACACACTCCTGGCAAGATGAGGAGGTGGGCGGTTTTTTGGGTGCGGAAATGACGTGTGGGAGAAAACAGGTAGAGATGGTGTGGGCACACTGAAGTGAACAAAACGCCTCCGGCAGGTGGGTGGGTGTGTTTTTTGTGGTGTGAAGTGTGAAGGGAGGGGATCAATTGGCAAACATGCCTTTACCCTGGGGTTAGCAAAAGTTCCAGAGCAAGAATTCTTGTCAAGTCCGGCTTGTCAACGATCCTGGAGGCTCGTCCCAGCCTCCAGTCCCAGTCGTTTAAGGTGGATCGTTTGGTGTACAAGTTCTACGCCTTTCCGAAAGCCTCTCTGGAGAAGGCACGAGATCAACTTCGGCCTGTTTGAGCGACTTTATTTCCAAGAGCCACGGCCTCCAAGCTAGCGATGGCCTCCAACCTAAGAGCGAAGGCCACCAACCTAGTAGCGGATGTATGTCAATTTTGATCTGGATAAATCCCTCATCCCTGCGGGGTATCGTTGATGGGCTCCTGTCCCGGCCCATCTCCGACCCGGTGGACGTGGTCAGACCGACCCGGCATCCGCCGAACCGCTTGCCGGAGGAAACGGGCGCCCTCGGAGTCCGAGACATTGATCAAGACATTTGGGTAGACTGGTAGACCCATGGACCTCCATGGACCCCCATCGACCCAAGAGTTGTGTGTCGAACACTGCATGTCCGACGAACGAACACCACCTGGACCTGATGGCCCAACAAAGCCTGACGCAAGCATGCGAACGACGCAAGCAGAACCAGTTTCGGTTCCACCAGAGACCAATTCATGTTTATCCTTGTTCATATATAGATGTATTTGAGTATATAGGTCCATATGGTTTTTCCTTTCAAGGGAGTCTGCCAACTTCATTGGAGGCTATCGCATGGTTTTTCACACCCTCCTGAGATAAAGCTGTGCGGTCAAGACCAGAAGGTTCCCTTCTACCTGCGGGTCGGACAGATGCTCCGTCCACACACTTCACTGGGGGAGGTCGACTGGCCTAGCTACGCTGGTCTGCGCCCAGTTCGGGTCCACCACTTCGGATGGCCAAAGGGAAGTGAGTACTCTACTTCCAGACCCTAGGGATCCAGCCGTACCTCCTCAACCCACCCCAGTTCCACCTTCTGGGTACTTGGATCCTTAGGGAGAGAATGTCCAAAGGACCTCCGATTCGGATGGTCATGGACCCTGAAGGGAGCCCACCACAGTGGGCGGGCGCTGCATCGCCGCGTCGTGCACCGGCAGGTTGGGCTCGAGACGATCAACTGGGCCAACCCCGAGAGTGCACGCTACTTCCGGAAGCAGGGTGGCAAAATGCTGCGAGGGTGGGCCACTCGGAAAGAGAACAAAGAACAGATGTAGTTAGTGACACCGTTTTCAGGGAGGAACACGACACAAATATACACTATATACATGCATGGTTTGATCTATATGGATCTGGGAAGATGCCTGTCGATCAATGCGTTTGGCCCGGGTGGGTTGTCGTTTTGCGTGCCATTTCCACGCATCAGGATCCAATTCCGCTGTGGGGATCGAGGGGCGAGAGGATCAGATGAACAGAACTGGTCAAGTCAGAGGATTTACCTGTGTGATCCATTTGAACAATCAATAGAACACACGGTGGATTGTGATCTATTGTGATCCATCATACGGTGAACATCAATATTAGAACGCCTTGTGATTGATGATCTATGGTTTTTCAATGTGCTCCTTGAAAGCCAATAGCGCTTTGTCCCCCAGACAATTGGCTGCTGAGCAATATTTTCTTTGGACTACGAATTGACGAGAAAATGACCAGTCGACACCAATTGCTTCCAGATAAGCTATTATAGTCACTGAGTAAGTGACTGGGTCAGGAGTACCTCACCCTAACATACCACCATGCAGGATCAAGGATTGGACCCTCCTGGCCTGTTTTGGGACACTAGTCCAGGTTTCTGGGCACCAGGAAAAGTCGGGTGCTGGTGGAGGCTTCCATTTTGGAGCTGTCTCCAGTCTTCAGTGCAGAACTCTGGGCCTCTCTTCTCGTCCACCCAGGCGGCGGACGCCGAGTCCTTCGACCAGCGCTTCTCCCCCGGCGAGTGCGACCGGACCGGGAACCGGAGAGCGGAGGGACGGCCGAGTGTGCGGGGTTTCCCGTTGTTTGGGCCAGATAGAGAAACGAACAAAGGCCGGAGAGGGTCTCTCCGGTTGTTTGGGGCACTCCGAAAACGAAACACCATGCCACAAGCCAGTGGAACGCCGGTTCGTCACAAGCGAGACGATCCTGGCTGTACCTTATGACCAGACAAAAACTGGCGGTGACATAATGCAAAACAGGAAGATAGACACACGAAAACATGTAAAGCACATGTTCGGAGCCACGAAGCCAACGAAATTCAATTCGGATCGGACTCGAATCACCAAAGTCAGTGTGCAAGTCTTTGCGCAGCAAGAAAGAGGTTCCGCCTCCTCCAGTGGGCTGGTCCCGCGATGTCTAAAGTGAAAAACCCTCATATCGCAGTGGTCGAGCCCCGGAGCCCCCCCGGAGCCGGGGCCCAAAACCTACTTACATGCGTGACAAAAGTCACACCAAGCAGCAGAAAGTCATGGTGAGCAGCAGAAAGTCACGCTGCTTAGCAATAGCAGCGCATGAGCTGCCGGTCAATCCCTGGCGCCCCATATGGCGCCTCCGAGGTCCATTTTGGACCCCGGCCCTTCCATCCGAAGAGAGTTCCATCGTGGTTTGATCGGGTAGAAGAAATAAGCCTGAATGGGACGCGCTGATATTTCCATGCGAGTCATGCGACATGTGCAGACCAGGGTCCAAGTGCCTTCTCAGAAGTGATTGGAGACATTGATATATAAAGAGGTTTTGGAGGGTCCAGTCGTACCTTCTCTGCTAGAGTGCCTTGTTTTCTCAGCTAGCCCCAGACATCGCAGGTACGTGCTCGTCTGCCGGGCGCGGGATCACTTGGGAGCCAAGGCGTGCGTGAGTGTAGTGGACCCCAGACCATCCATGAGGGTGGCAGCCTAGGAGAAGGCAGATCTTCCTGTCCCATGGTTTGATTTGGGTACTATAGGATCATTTCTTTTGGGTCACGAATAGACTTCCCTGCATGACAAACCTCCAGGACACCCAGACAAAAGATGATCCTGGCACCAAGAGAGGGGTACCATGGATGCACTGTGTTGGTGCACAGAAGCTTCAAAACCTGAATGGGACGGAGACCCAATCAGTAGGGAGGTTTTTTTGGGCTACGGGTGTCCAAAAATTGTTTCATGAACTTGAGCCTATTTGACCCTGCAGGTTACTGTAGCACATATTTGTCCGTATGTTTGGGTCGGGTGGTTTTTTCTTTTACTGTACTGTATATGGTGTTTTTCTTTGAAGCTGCTTGGGGGTTCCAGCATATTTATGACAAGCAAGACATGGTATCCAGTGTACAGGTGAATTGAAGCCATTGGCCATATTTAACTTGGTGCAAGATTTGGATGACATCCTACAACATTGTGGCCATGGTCTACTGAACCGAAGCAGTGGGACAAACTCCATGCAACGTCTAAGCCTGGCGCCGCCGTGGCATCTGTCACACCGGACAGCTCCGTTTGAGGGCATCGCTGTGAGCAGCAACTTCACGGTCACGGCGGCGACGCTGACCACTGAGCAGAGGGCGGAGGTCTTGGAGGCAGGAACTCAGAGTGACGGCACCCAGGAAGTACATGGAACCCAGGAAGGTTGATCCCAGGAAGGTGATCTGCCTAAAGGTTTTGATCCCAGGAAGTACATGGATCACCTGGGGAGTGACGGTGGTTCCCACGAAAGAAGAACAGGTACTTGGAGCTTCAAAGGGGTGTCCAATGGAGATCCCTAGGTAGTGTGGGGGCTTCCATTGGTGACCCCTATGAAGGTGCTGGTAGAAAAAGGTGCTACCTGGTACCTTTCCAGGGAAACTGAAGGCGTCTGGGAAGCGACTAGGAGCGATTGGAACTGGGACTGTTCTCCTTCTTTTTCATGGGTCTTCGATAGGCTGGAGGCCATCACCAGTAGGTTGGAGGCCATCGCTCTTGACATACCCGCTCACAAGTGTCTCAGAATCCTTCCCAGATGCTGAACACACCACCGGCAGCCAGGTGTTTCTCTCCCCGGGACTAAACACAAACAGCAACTCCCCGATGGAATCCATGGTTACGTGGATGGCATGGCCCCTTAGCCTTAGATGACCATGAAATCCTCTACAAAAGCAGTGTGGCACGTCCACTTCCATGATCATTTTAAGGATCTGTTTGTTGTGGATTTCTTTATATGTCTATTTTGATTCGGGTCCTCCTCCACCCCCAAACGTGTTTCCGGTCGACGGGTTTTGGAGAGCAAACTCCTTTTCTGTGGGAGTTTTTTTGCAAATTTTGAAGCAAACAATCCTGTCACCACGGCCTGGCCTTCGTGTGTACTAGGCACCGACCGTCAGAGGTAGAGCCAGGTCTGTCTCAGAGAGGCAACCTTTCATACAACATCATACAACCTTTTAATGGCAAAATTATGTGAAATGCAAGTCTGGGACTTTTCTGCCAAGACCATTCATTCCTCTATTCATGATGCAGTTCATGATGCATAGAACGATGCTATTATGGCTATATGGATCTATATGGTACGTTAACCCTTGATACCCACATATGCCTGGACGGCCCAGGCCTCACTCTCCACAGCCGATGGGCAACAGATCCTCAGCACGGTCAGCGCCCTGGTGGCCACCGAGTCCGGCTCCGACGTCGACGCCTTCGGCAGCGCAGCTGGGAGCAGCTTGAAGTTGGTCTCCGCCTTACAGGCGCCGCAACACGCGGTTCGTCGCAGACAACGGGCCCGGGGTCGGAGGTTCAGGTGTTTGGAGAGGGGCCACAAGAAGCACAGGGTAGGGGGACGGATGATGGAAAAGGCAAAGACAAGTGAATGTGGTGTGTGACATGCAACTTCCAAGAAGAGACTCTATAAGTACTACTGTAAAAGTGGCATTTTGTTGGGAATATGTTGGAAGTTAGAGGCCTGTTGACGTTTTGGATGCACTGCTTGTGACTCCACCTTGGGATTGCGATCAGTTTCACCCCAGTTCCGCTCCCAGCGAGTCACTGTTCACTTCAGCTCCGAATGGTCAGACGGTCACCCAAAGAAGCAAAGTCTCTTGTTTGCAATAGGGATCCTTCTTGGGTCACCAGTGGCTCCAAAGAGAACAAACAGTCAAACACCGAGCCCTCCCTTTCACCAAGCCCTCCCTGAAAAAATGTGCGCATCCACCTATAGGGCAGGTAGTGGGTACGGTATAACATGAATATGTTAATATCTTCAACACTTCTCGCCTTCTGCCTTCCAGGTGGCCGCTCAGAACTTGGACCCCACTCCCGAAGTCCTCGAGGAGATGGCGGTGGTCGCCACCAGCGTCGTCGACGCCGGACGGACCACGTCGGCGGGCGCGGGCGCGGTGGGCGCGGTGGGCGCGGGGGGCGATGCGACCCTGTTGGAGACGGCCATTTTGCTGGACAGTTGCATCGATCTCACACGACAGACGGAGTCTTGGATCGAGTGATGGATGTGCGGGCGGAGTCAGTCAAAGCACGTCGGGCAAGTGGAAGTGTTGGGGCTCAGTGAGTCGCACTCTGTGGTGGACTCTGTGGAGTCTCTGTGGAGTGAAAGCGACAGTTTGGGAGGAATGATTCGTTTCAATCAGCATGTAGTTTTGGAGGGGGGATTAGGAAGATTTGTGTTCGGATCTTGGCATGGTTACCACCATGCTTAAAGCGAGAAAACACGTTTTCTTTTTTTTTTCCGGGACAAGGACACTAATTGTACTGAGGGTTCTTATAGGCTCTTGGATACCATGATGTGTAACTCATGCTGGCTTCCATGTTTGCATGTGAAAGGAACTCATTTCAGGGTGGAAATTAGCCTATAAGGTTGCCAGTCAGCCCAACATTGGCAGACTGGACCCTGCAAGAGACCGCTTAAGGCATCGATACCTGTCAGCGCTTGCCAGCTTATTTCATGGCAATTTATATAGTTCTACTATGTCACTATGTTATACTGCTTGCTAAATGGTAAGTGCCCTCCCAGGCGTTTCATCTATCTCACCTTCTTTTCCCAACTCCTAAGGCTTAAGGGCTTTGGAACCCCCCCATGTGGGCTACTGGGTCAAGACATCTCAAAGCTTGTTTCTTAAGCAGGTGGACGTTCTGAGGGTTTACATGGGTTTACGTGTCTAGGCTGAGAAGAACAACACATCAAACCCTCCCAACAAAAAGTTATATGGTCACTGACAATGAATAATATAATTTGTGGAAGATGGTTTTCCTCTACCCACCAGTGGTCTTCTTCGGGATTTCCAGCAAATACGCACGCACCCAGCACCCCGTCGACCATCCATAAACCTGGAAGACATGCAGAATATACGTTGACCCCCAAACCAGAAGCTGCTTCCCGTACTAAAATTTGTACTACAAAGTTGCCAGTTATGCCAGTCTGATGGGTCGCGCCACGCGTCCGGACCATGACAAGCTCAGGAGACGGGCGCTGGACGGCAAGTGGCCACCGCCATGCTCGGTGCGCCCAACCGGCCAAACCGGGGGCACGTCAGTCTACGTCCCCGCAAGACGGGCACACGGTTTCAACTCACCAGCTGTGTGGTGTGACTCACATCTCATGTGTCTCCAAGCACCATGGACCATGGAGTTGTTTTTTAACCGAAGAACTATATATATATATATATTTGTTTCCAATATTGTTGTATCACTCATGACTTTGCACTAAGAAACCGGTCACAACTTTCTGAAAGGTCTTGGAAGATTAGGGTCAATGCTTCATCATTTTGAAAAAATGACTGCCAGGTAAAGTCTGTGAATGCCATGGGTGATGGATGGATGGTTTTGGCTGGTGACCCTGCTCTTTACCCGTTCCCAAGAAAACTGCCCTTTAGTGGAGTCAGGCAAACTTGCTTTGACGTCCCAATTTGGGATGACCTCACACTTGACACGCACCTTCTTGCTAAAGTCAAGTGTGGTAGACGCCTAGCGAAACTTGTAGAAACAGATGCCCAAACAACAAAATAATACAACATATTTTATCTAGTGAACATGACCTGCAAGGTAGATTGTTCTGCATGTGTTCAGGGGCGCCCACCTTTTCACTCAGCACTGCGTTGAGTTACACATGCGATCGCAGCTCACCTGGAGAATTCCGATGTTCCCATGGTTTCGGTTTAAAGAACCATACATGCATGTCTCTATTGTTCCACAAAATTCCTGGTTCAATATCCCTGGCGATCCAGGTCTGTCATATATGACTACATGGCCATGTATGACCAGAGAGCGTTCATTCCAATGTAGTGGAATATTGCAGACGTTGAAAAACCAAGTTGTCGAAGTCTATCGAAACCCTCTGAAATCTCAGGATTTTCGCAAGTCGCACTTTCTCCTCCTGCAGGTTGTGTGAAGGCTCATGACAATGCACATGATCCTTTCGATCTATGCTTTGATTGTTGTTAGAGCTCATGATCTCAAAGCCCATAGTAACTGCCAGTAACTGTAATGATCATGATCATCATCCCTTTGACACAGCATCTGGGCTTGTGAGTCGGTGCCTTGATGGTGTGAACCGGTCATGCTGCTGGCAGCAGCCCGACGCTGGGCACTTAGTGGATCGTGTGCTGCCAACGCTGATGAATTATGGCTTCTCCAAGTGCGAACCCACCTTGAGCTCAAGGTCGCTTTCAGAAGCTGGAGCCCCCCAACAAGTATGATGGGGCGAAGTCGTTGGATGGTGCGCCCGCCCGTTCACTCTCTTAGTCATCCCAAGAATTTGACCCTGGCTTCCTACATTCTGTATCTTTTTGGCCAAAAGTCAGTATTTGTGATGCTTGGTTTATCTTTCATGGCTAGTGAATTCAACTCTATGGGATTGCACTTGGCATTGCGGGTGTGAAACATGGCAGCTCTGGCAGCCATTTTGTTTCCAGCCTCCGCGCTCATCTCACTTGCAGCCTGTGCACAGCTGACATGGGAGAGGTCTGCTGGGGTCAGAGAACATAACCACCACGTTCGTAGATGTTTTAGCAGCAGGGTGGTTGAGAAGATGCAGGTCATGAACGAGTCGAACAGTGGCCAAACTATAACACCGAAAGGGTTTGTTGTGAACACTGCTCAAGTTCTTCTGGCTATAACTAGTGCTGGTTCTCACTGCGAGGACTTGCAAAAGAAGAAGGCTACCTCTGACTTGGGAAGGTTGCTTCTGGAGGAGGTGATTCAATCACATCTTTTGGCCGATGATAAAAGAATTCCTGAACTCAGAGATAGCCAGGAGCGATTGATTCTTGATGAACTAAAGCTGGCCATTATAAGATTGTACATGCACATGTCCAGTTGGTTTCGTACTGCCAAAACCCTGTCTATACAGGAGAAGGCAATCCTGTCACTTGACACTGGAGCGGACACAGCAGAAGCAGTGTGGGACTTGTATATACCTGGAAGGAAATAACTTGCACATATATGCATGGCTGTAGTTGACATGTATTTTGTGTTTTTGTTTTGTATACATGCGTGGGTCGATGTGCCACACTTCTGTGCCTAGGTCGAGGCAAACTTTCTCTTTCTCTTAAACTTTTATGCAAGCTTCGCCTCGGAAGGGGTGCCCAACCTTGAGGACTTCAAGGCATTTGACATAGACAGTGTCTGCAGTCTAAGTTGATTTGTTGGCTGCAGGTAGTGCTGTATCGTCTTTGCCAACGGTATGGGTTCTTCGCGCCCAAGACCAAGAAAAGAACAATTAAGGACAAAAAGTGCAATTACTTTGCCTTGTGTGGACTGGGGTGGGCCTAGTCCACCACGACAATGTTTGTGTCAGGACTGGGCCAGGACCACAGCTGGACTTATGAGGGCTCTATGTGTGCACGGTTTGCACCTCGCGAACAAATCTGTGTCTAGCAGGTTGGGGTCAAGTGTTCAAGACAATACAAAATTGAAACACAAACGTCAAACAACTGCACCATCGCAGGAGAAAAAAGGTCCAAATCCTGAAGGAAGTCATTCGCAAGGTCATTGCAGGACATCCCATTGAATCTCTCAAAGTTTTCTGCACAAAGGACTTTTATTTCCAGATATGTATAATCCCCTGATGCTTTCAAAGCTGAGCAGAAGCCCATGGCCGGAATCCTGACGATGTGCTCCAACAGCAAATTCAGAGTGAACTGAACCAGGCTCGGCATTCTGAAATAGATGTTTGTCCGATGCTGCTATTAATTTGCCTTGTTGCAGGTGGACCAATCGATGCCTTCTTCTTCGGATACCCAATCTTCTGTAGAGATTGTGGCAGAGGCCATGGGAATTTGCTAGTCTAGGGTCAAAACGATCATGATGGCTGGTCAGGGTGGTGCACCATTAGCTGGAGAGTTTTCGAATGAGGCCCGGCCCATTTTTCTGAAACAGTTTGTCTTGGGAACAATGTGTTAATTTGTATGTAGCTTGTAGGCTTGCTACTTCAAGCAACCTGTTTGAGCTGAACGCAAAGCTGTTTGGAGGTGGAGGCCATCGTGGAAGCACAGGCCATCGTGGATGCTGCAAAAGAAGTGCTGTCAGCCAGCAAAGCGATGATTGACGTGGCTGACACTCAGCCATTGGAGGTGTGACTGCCACGGGCCATGCTTCCACATAGGTTGTGTTTCTGTTGTGAGTTTTTGTATTAACAATTTTAGTCCATGCACTTGCCAGGATGGTGATCTGGAGGTTGTTCACCCAGAGCCCATAGAGAGCCGTCGACAAGCTTTGAAGGCATACGTGCAAAGGGTGCAGTTAGGATTAAACAATCGAACATGTCACATGTCAGGTGAGGGATCCTTTACTGCCTGGTGCTCCAAAGGTGGATTTGGGCTTGGAGGCCTTTCTTACAGCTCTTTGAGTGCTGGTGTTTCAATTTGCGTCCTGCGATTCACAAATACGCGTGCACTTTGGCTTGTTCTTGAAGTCAGGCCCAAGTTGAAGAGTTTATCGCACAAGCTGGAGATCCTGCTGACGTTGATACCGTCAAGGCTTTGAGGAAGGCCATTGGGTGGTGGCGTTTGGTCGTGTTGCATGCTACGCAACCTGGTTAACCGATTGATGTGATCTGGGATCTGTGCAAACTTGTGTTATCATGATCATCTGTTGCAGGTCAGGAAAGCTGCACGTGAAGGTGGGGGGGGTTGAGCTGACAGCAGCAGAGGCATCGACGCAGAAAGCACGGAAGCCTGGGAGAAGGAGAAAGGCTGATGCAGATGCCCAGGAAGGTGTTGTTGAGCCATCAACAAAAAAGGTGAGGGATTCAGCAGCTGGCAACCAAAAGGCAACAGGTGATGGTCAAGATGCATCTGCTGGTGATCATGCCAAGTCAGGCAATGGTTCTGCAGGTGACACTACTGCAGTTGATGGGCCGTGCCAAAAACGCACCAGAGCAGCAACTTCTGCAGAAGATATTCAAACTGCTTGGAGGTTGAAGGACTGATAGGGAGTGTGTGGCCATCCATGCTCTAGAACAACATGTTTAAGTCTGAGCCATTGGATGAAGCATGCCAAATTTTTTGACCTACAAAGACATGAAATCTGTCACACTGGACCACTCATATTTGTTGGAGCAGTCGTTACCCCAAGGAGCAAATCTTTACTGAACACGGGATTCCCACAGCTCCAGACTTCAAGGGCAACAAGAAGAGCTACACACTTCGCGCACGGAACGAATCAGCATCGTCTATTGGTGTGCTGTGGGGGTCTTACTTCTTTCGGGTTGAAGAGTGGTCTAGAGACTTATAAAGGCAACCCAAAACAGGTTGAATGGACATAAATGGGGTCACACCAAAAGTGTTGGATTCATTGTTTCATCATGTGCGGTGTAAGACACATGTTTTTGGGCCCTGTTGGAGTTGGACTCAAAGCTTGCCGGCAGTCAGGCGGTTCAATGAACAGTTCTACATCTATGACACGAAGCACCGATTTGGCGACTATGTGGTTATTGATGAGTCCGGAAAAAAATCCAATGGGTCGACCGTCAGTGTCAAGAAACGTGGAGGGTGGGCTTCTGCGTGGAAAGACGCTCAGGTCTTGGCAGGGTGGTGCAAAGCACCTGCTGCAAAGCAGCCTGCTGATCCTCTTGGCAGGGCACTGACTAAGGAGGACGAGTAGGGAGGCCTTTGGGACAAGTTCATGATCTGTGCCAGTGGTTGTTACCACTGGATTTCTAAATGTGCCAATTTGTCTGAACCCAGCAGCTGTACATTTCAATGCTTGCTCTACTCAAACGGAATCCATGCCATTCTAGCATATTCGAAGCAAATGTTTACCCAGATTCTTGGTGAAGCTGTTGGGTGATGACTGGGGGATCCTGCTTACAAAGCTTGGGATCACTGTACGTGTCAAAATGGGATCAGGATCCAGTGGTTTGTTTTGCAGTGACCTGGAGTTCAAACGTCGGCAATCGTCCACACGTGCAGCATGCCTCTCGGTACACATTGACTTCTGCCGGCCAGCTCTTTTTGGCCTCCAGTTGCCAGCTGCGATGACGAGGGGCTGTGGGTTGTGGCT